TAATGCCTAGTAGTTTCAACTTATTTGCAGTTTACATGAATTGGATAGAGAGATTAATAAGGGAAAATCTTTCATCGTATCAGATGGCTATATTACAATGCCTGACATCGAATTTATTAAGGAACACTGCCCTAAGGAAACAGAATAGTAAATATTCAAATAAAAATCGAACTGTTTATTACAATACAAGTAAAGAAGTTTCAATGTTAAGACTGTCATGTACAATCGGATGGGTGTCAGACATTTTGTATCTTGCTATGTACTTCTACCGACTACGTATGAATAAACGTTCACTTGATTGTTTACAGAGAGCACAGGAGAGGATCTCAGTCCCTTTCAGGGTGTATAATAGTGACGTTAATATAGATCTGTACGAAAGTTTCATCACAGGGATATCTTTGGATAAAAGGATCAAGAAAGCACTTGTGTTTGACATTGTATTAGTTTATGAGGGAGATAACATTGATGAGCTAGTGTTAGAAAACAAATTTTGTTATGAGAATAGCATGACTTTTTTAAGTATTCCACTACTAGTGATGTCATACATGTTGTTTATACTGAATTGCCATAGACTGGGTGACACAGTGACGCCACAACAATCTCTACAGGATCTGCAGACTCTGCTGTTCTTTGATGACGGGATTAATGTGTCTTATCACCTTCGAGATATATCGTGGCAAATACTCGGTATTTGTCAACAAATCACTGGAGATTATTCAGGATCTCTACAGTCGTATCAGTATTCTTTACAACAGGATCCCTTTCACTGGATCCAGGAAGCCATTCTTATTAGAATGAGGACACTTCCCTATGGAGCTATGTGATATTGATTTGTTGAAATAAGAATGACAATTGTTTGTTTATTTTATTTTGTCATCCTACATATTGGGCGGCTTTCCAAGGAAAAAGTCAAAATAATTCTACATAATTAACATGTATTCATCAAATTGAGTATGAAATTCTCCCTGTGATCTGTAACTCAGAACCTCTTATATTTATTTTACATGCTTAATTCATCATATACTATTTTGAATTCTATTAATGATGTAAATTAGATTTTGATTAATGTTTTGTTCATAATAGGACCTTTTTAAATTTACTAATCCCCCCTCGACACCACAATCACACAGCACATACTTTTTGGAATGGGCTAGATGGAACAGTTTTGTTAAAACATCGTTTGTTATGAATTGATTTAAAATTTGTTCTTGTACTATACATGTTAACATGAAAATTCTACATCACATCACGTTGCGTCACCCTTTATCATATTTTAAGATTAAACTCCATTTGGCACACCTCGGCCGAATCCCACTTGATCTGATAAGGTGACGGAATCGACGGCACGAAGGTTTGCCGAATGGAACAGCATTAGAACATGCTGCAGTCTGGTGTGCATTGGATTAATTCATTTTGTGTTATAATTTGATTATATTTTATAAAGTTGACAAGACCTATGGAGGTCGGTAAGTACAAGTTTAAGTGTAGTCGGGGGTAAAATAAACCCAAACGATTAGGTTAAAGTTCAAAAAGGGTCAAAGATCATCGCATGCCACACTAGACAAATTTGTTGTCGATGTGACATTCAGTTACTGCCAATACTGGTGCGGATCCAGAATTTTTTTTCGGGAGTAGGGAAGGGTGTTCACATCTCAGTCAAAAAATTCCAGCCCAGAATTTCCTGACAAGCAGGAGAAAAAAAACTGAAAACAAATAAACAAAATAAAAACAATGATAGTGGGGTCAATGTTTTCTAACTTAAGGGGGGGGTGTCCAAAGTCATTTTTTTTTTGCTTCAGTATATAGTCTAGTTTAAATAACAAAGCAAATTCCTGGGGGGGGGGGGTCCAATCTCCCTATCCACTCCCTGTCCCTGAATAACAATCTATTTTCAATTTTGTGATTCCAATTAAATAGTATATTTTTTTCCATTTGACTAATTATACATATTTTGTTTCTTGTGTTTATATTATGTCTGTCTATTTGTCTGCAGAAATTATAACCTTGCCCGTAAGTTTTAAGTGGGATGGGCTATACAAGTGGCTTCCACATTTTATAGGTTTATTTCTTGTGACAATTAAGACCATTTATTTGGGCACCATTAATTTTTACCTCTGATCGCTTGACCTATGATACACATTTTTACAAGAAAAATACGAAACTTTAAACTTGGCCTAAATTTTGATCAGTAGGTGCTACGGCTTTCATGCTTAACATGTGTATTCATTGTGAACTGTCAACAGGTATAAATATGTTTGACCTTGACCCTAGAGTTTGAACCACTTAAAAAAAAATTAACCTTAATTGGCAATTAACTTTTGAACAGGAAGTACTAGGGATTACTTATTTCACATGTGCATTCCTTGTGACAAGACTTTCTTCTGATACCAACAATTTGAACCCTTTGACCTTGACCTTTGAAATTGACATATATTTGAGAAACTTCAACCTTCGCCATGGGCTTCCATACAGGGACATCAGTGTTTCACAAACACATCTTGTCTTCATTATTATTTGGTGGTGTCTCCATATGAGGGAAAAATTGACCCCCCGGGGCAAAATCAAAATTTCGAAACCTTACTGCACATCTACATGACACCACCAATCATCCCCTAAAAGGTGATTAGGCTGCTGAGTAAAATGTAGAAGGAGTTCAGGGAAGACGGGACTTTTTGCATAAAAAGCGTCATTATTCGACCCCCATTTGACCCCCGGGGGCAAAATTAAAATTCCGAAACTTTACTGCACATATAAATGACACCACCAACCATTTCCCAAAAGATGATTAAGCTTCTGTGTAAAATGTAGGAGGAGTTCAGGGAAGAAAAGTGTGACAGACGGACGGACGGACGAACGGACATGAGTAACAACAATATACCCGAACTTTCTTTAGAAAGTGCGGGTATAATAAAGATGTAACCGAAATTTCATCTGCCTCATGATTCGAAAATTATTGAAACTGATATAACAATACCCCAAAAAAGTGAAAATTAAATTTTCCATTATTTTCAATGTTTCCTTCGCGTATATGTCACAGTCTTGTTTCTCCTTTGTGTGGAGTTCATCAGTATGTTTATCCTACAAAAAGATATATATTTACATGTGTATCAACCTATTCAACAAGATAGCCCTTTGTTGAAAGGGGCCATATTCGACATTTCGAACACTGTCTTCAACTCAGTCCCAGATATGTTCAATCATCGAAAAAAAATGGACTTATATGTAACGGAGACCTGTCGAGTGCGGAAATGAGACTGTTTGCGAGAAAGTCTTGATAAACGCAGGTTACACTGTGCCGGAGGTAATTACGCCGAAAAAAAAATAGATAAACGGCTCGCACATGCGCCAACGAGAGGAACACCAAAGTAAAGTTGACTAGCTAGCGCTGAAATATCCAAATCGTGCAATCGGTTTCTTTCAGTTTTAAGATGAACGTAATGAATATGATAACCTACTCTATTAATATCAGTTTTGTAGTGGAAAGGTGGCGATTAAACAGGTGGCAAGACGAATAACCCGTTCTTGACGTACATGTAGCTCTGTTACGCGTTTACATCATCACAGCTGTTGTAAACCATTTAAGACCCTCTCCAACGACGAGTAAGATTTTCTACAGGGGGAATTTTACTAGCAACTGCACAGCAAGCCGTTGTTGCTTTTGTCCTCACTTAGGCACCGTAAAAACCAGACCCCATGGAACTGTAACAAGATTGCAAGAAATGCATTTTGTTTAAAAATACTGAAATTCAACATGTATACCTCAATTGCATCAAAAGGTATAAGAGGATCTTTGACAAACTTGTCCTTATCAAGTTTCACGTGCTTTTGACTTTTTAGCATTTTCCGACGTTACGTCTTTTCATGGTTGAGTGATTCGGATCACTGATTTTAAAGCAATTAACCAAGATTCAGATCTGACCAATTTTCGTACCTTTTGGTCAGGCGGTCAAACAATTTCGCATATTATTTTTTCTGCGTTTCCTTTTCCTTTCAGTATTTGTAGCTATAAACTTCAAACAAGGATAACCATTATATAATCAGGAGTACTTTATTCTTAATGTAAACTTTAAAGAATTCTATTAGCTAAAGAATGATAAGTATCAAAAGAACACTACAGTTAAACACGTAATATGAAAATACTGGATAATAAATACGTTTTCATCTGCATTATCTTCAAGAACAGTTTTGTTCCAGACATAAATTTGTAGGCTATAATCAAACAATAATTGAATTATTAAAAATAACTAACAGATCAGTAAGATTTTATATGGTAAGGAAAAGTTGAAATATAAAATGATTGTAACTATACTAAAGATTTAACATTCAGTTATAACAAAATCACATAATTAGACAAGACCAATAACATAATCAAACCGATATCAACTTTACAATAACAACGCCTAAAATGAATCACAGTATTACAATTCAATCAATAACACCACTTTAGTAATCATATAAATCATTTCACATGTACATGCATATTGCAAATTGAATATTTGTATAAAAATTGTATATTGAATAGCCATGTTTTATTTTAGAGATAAAGGACTCAAACCAATTTGTATGCAATTGAGATAATTATTTTAAGACAATAAGTCAGTGAACACTAACTTACTTAGTAAAATTTTATAAAATTATACACTTCTTTCTTTTTTTTTCTTTAATTTTTTCAACAGTGGAAAGCTGCAATTTATCCATTGCACAAAAAAGATAATTTTGAAAGTGATATTTCTATATTGAAAATATTAAAGTTGTAGCAATACATTTCTCCTCGATATCAAAACTTACTAGGCTATAGTGAAACATGTCTTGTCTTTAAAATATGTATTCCAATATGTTGATCAATACGAGGCAATATTTAAATTCTCTTTAAAATTATACTTGTCTCATTGTCGTTTTTTTTAGTATTATAAAGTCCAGTCTACTTAGAAACTAGAAGAAATCGGATTTGACGAGTTGTACTGTATATGGTACCAGACTGCTTGCCTGCCAGTAGCTCTTCAGTGATGTTTTATCATCATGGAAGTCTCCTTTATCTCATTACTAGACACAACTGTAGGAAACCATGGCATGTACCAGAGTGCCGGGGACCAGGGACCGTTGAGGTTGGCGTCATGACATGCGCAATACCACCAGCCGCCTCCTCCTCCGTATACAACAGCACAGTTATCACCATACCGTCTGTCGTTATCCCTGTCCAGAGTGGAGAACGACATCCCGGACAGATCGTAGTTGTAAGCCCCAGTGATAAACATACTGTCACCTGAACAATAATCAAGGACGTTATATTAAAAGACCACAAATTAGATAATTCTAAATTTAAAGTAACAGAAAATAAAGTCTATAATTATTTTATATTGTGCATCCGTTTTTATATACTAGTATCGATTAATCTTATCGAAACATTGAAATTGACTAAGATTATTTATTGATAACAAATACAGCAATTTAAACAAAATAGAAGTAAATCAACTGTTAATTGTAGAATATTATCAAATAAGGTTTTTTTTTTCAATTGTTAATATTTACATCCACTGAATATTTTCTTCTTTATTTCTTAAGAAAATCCATAGCGTTCATTGCTGCATGAACTACATTAGGCATATCACTTATACTGATTTCTTGATCAGTGGCCGTTCCATCAATGATACGTACAAAGACTTTCGCATCATTAACATAATAATTAATATTTTTATCCTACTTAAAATGATAATTTAAACAGATATAAATATAAACAATAAAATGTCTTTCTTTGTTTGCTATTACTGGAATGAACGGTCGCAGCTATTGCAGAAAAAAATTTACATAACCCGCTTACACGGGTCATGTATTTTTTCTGCAACAGCTGCTTCCGTTCATTCCAGTAATAACAAACAAAGAAAGCATTTTATTGTTTAAATAGTAGACCTATTTTAATATTCATATGAAGCAGAATTTGTTCAAAATTTTTTGCCTGAAAAGAAGAAAACACTAAGTCTTGCTGTGGCCTTCAACTCGACATTTAGATATATCGACGACGTATTATCAATTAACAATGGTATTTTCCATTTCTACGTTGATATGATACATCCTGTTGAGCTTTAGATAAAATAAACCACATAGCCTGACAAATCTGATTCATACTTGGATATTTTACTTGAAAAAGACGTTAAGGACACGAAGACTTTAACTTTTCTATAGTCAACTTCCCTTACTTATGCAGCAATATACCTTCATCACCTGCATACGAAGTGTATATATCTTAGTTGATTCGATACGCAAGAACATGCTCTACGTACAGTATATTATTTCTAAAAAGAGGTAAATTATTGCCAAACAAGCTGATGAAACAAGAATATCAGAAGTCTCGTCTAAAGGCATCATTTCTTAAGTTCTATAGTTTGTACAATGACTTTGTCAGTAAATACAATTTATTATTGAGTCAAATGATAATTTTCATGGTCCATTATTTATACACTGAATTGGAGACGGATTTTTCCGTCAGTTCCCCATCATGACAAGAATCACACGGTGGGTGTTACCGGTCTGCAGGGGATGCTTACTCCACCATGGCACCTGATCAGCATTTGATGTTCACTGCTCCTTAGCACCTGATCCCACCTTCAGTGTTTTGGAGGTCCGTGTTTGCTCTGCTCCTATTTATGTACCTCAAACGAGTTGGGGAACTTATTGTTTTTACTCTGTTTCTTAAGACCATCTACTGATTCTGTTGTTTCTTTTCCACTATTATTATTATTTTTTTTTCTTACCGGTTTTGTGCAGACGATTTCTCGAGAACGCTTAGACAGATTTTCATGTAACTTTAAGCAATGATGGGAAACTATTTGATCTTTATGCGTTTTTTTTTTATTTTGCCGTGTCACTTCCAGTCGCGTTATACACCCAATTTTCTATTTTTTAATTGTCATTTTGTCCGAGAGTGTTCTCGAAAACGGTTGGAGATTTAGTCCTGAAACTTTCAGGGATGATAGATTCTCGTAGATTTGAGAAGGATATAAAGTTCTTCTTGCCGTAACGTCGGTTGTCCACCGGGAGTGATTTAAAAATATCCAAGATTTTATTTTTTTCTTTTTTCAATGTTTCTAATGGAGGCAAATAGAATGTCTATTATGTCCACCGGAAGTTATTTTTTCCAAGCCGGAAATGAGCATTTTTCCCCCTTGAAATTATCAGGGATGATTCCTTCACACTCAGAAAGGAGTAACATGTCATTTAAAGTACTTCCGGTCAAACCGGAAGTGATTTTTAAAGACCGGAATTGTTTGCAATTTATTGATTTAAATGTGTTCTCACGTACATTTGTAATTTGAATAATTGATATGAACATTTTTTTCATCTAATATTATTATAATTTATCATTTAATAATATTAATATGGCACCAAAAGGAAGTTTGGAAGCGTTGGGGAACATCTGTAACGGTCCCCGTTACTGTTAGCACTAGTGTTATTGTTATGGACTTGATATTGTATACTGATCGTTATCTTCATATCTTTCTATGTGTACCTTATATTAACTCTTGCCGTTTCAAAATATAGGTGCATTTGGCCATTTTTAAAAATATATTTTTTGCGGTTAGGCGCCTCATATATTTTAGGTGTGAATAGGTAGGCTGGCTTTTTTTGACAAAATGTCAGAAATAAATTTCAATTATATAGAAGTATTAAGTATTTCTCAGATATCACCTTACTAATTAAACAAAACAATTAAAGCATTCTAAATGAATTCAATCTTTTATTGCTCAAATATCAGAACACATCAGTTCTTTTAGGCAAACTTTTTCAAAGAAAGTGACTCTCATCAGCAACGTACCTCAAATAACTTACTTCAAACAAGTCTAGTAGCTTAATAATAGTTTATTAATTAGATGCAAATCCGCCATCATCCCACGTTGAATTTCGTCTGCCATCTATTCTGTGGCGATCTCGTAAACATACCATGTATCTGGAAGGTGGAACTGACGCACAATATTTCGGAAAACGAATTAAAATGTTATCCCTTTCATATTCACTGTAAATGACAGAATTATAGAGTCAATATTTCCCGCAACCTTCTCGGAGGCCATCTCTTAATTTGTAGATCACAATTCAATAGTAATTGGGGGAGGGAGATAAATCGTCGGTGTAACCGAGGCGTAAAAAAATATCAATCGGATAAAAATGGCGTAGATGCAATGGAGACGTAAAAAATATTAATTGGATAAAAACGGAAAATGGATACGTAAAAAAAAAATTTGAACCCCCCAAAAAATCCAGTCGGGTGTATTTTGGTGAGTCGGTCGCGTTACCGCAAAAAAAAAAAAAACAACAAAACAATTATTTAAGGATGGACTATGGAAAAATTATAATTCCCGCTTTGGAAAGAAGCAGAAATCAGTACAGAGTTGAAAAAAATTTAATAAAATTTTATATTACACTGCCGCAGACTGCTTCCATATCAATATTACTTATCATGGCTTTGCTGTTCTTTAAAGAAAGAATTTTTAACGATTTTTCCTATATTTTCCTACGCAAAGACCTGTTGCTTTTGTGACACCACTCTTCCCATCTTAAATTCGAACCAATATATGTATGATTCAAAGCTACCTGGGGATACTTCTGTCATAATATGACTAATAATGGTTTTGCTATTCTTGAGGTGAGAATATTTCTAGAAATTTTGTTAAACGAGGGTTGAACCAAAAGTTATACCACAGAGTCCATATTTATATTACGTATAATATATACATATAATGTGTTGGGGATACAGGCCGTTACATAAACTTTTGCTTTATCCACGGGTAGATGCTTTATCAATAGCACTTTCGGTTTTCACACGACCCCTCGCTTCAAGATTTTATTTAATTGAAACTTTTATTTGTGAAAATTCTTGCCCTTATTAAATGAAAGTTGAAGAGCAATAATGTTAAAAGCAAGAAATAGACTCAAAGAAGTGTCTTATCTTATCAAGGTACCTGTATTGGCTTCTTGAGGACGGATGTTTTACCCTCCCCCCCCGACATTTATAATCGTTTTCGGAGAAAGTAAAGCCTAGCAGTTTATTTGTTGTGATAGGATTCACTTAACATATTGCCCCCTTGGGATCAGGATTAAAATAGGTCCTCAGCACCCCTTTTCTTGTCGTAAAAGGCGACTAAATGGGGTGGTCCTTCGGATGAGACCGTATTAACCGAGGCCCCGTGTCACAGCAGGTGTGGAATGATAAAGATCCCTCCCTGCTCAAAGGCCGTGAGTGTTGAGCATAGGTCTAAATTTGCAGCCCTTCACCGGCAATGGTAACGTCACCATATCAGTGACATATTCTGGAGAGGGATGTTAAACAATATACAATCAATCATCAAACACTTAACATATTCAACTATGCTTTCTTATAGTATACTACGTAAGCCTACCTAGTAGTTATGTGTAACTTACCATGGATCAACAATGACTCTACAAGAAACTTTGTTAAGCACGGTTTGTACTGCCACCGTACAAAGAATTAATTTTCACGATTCCTTGGGCCTTACAACTTTCTGTAAGAAGTTCGCTTGATGTAAATCCCCAACAATATGTAACATAATGTCGGCAAGCCTCGGGAATATATACACCATTTCAACTCGTTGGATAAAGCCAATATCAAATCACTCAATATAGATATCATCTATATATCTTTTATATTTCTCCTCATATTTATGTTCCCCAAACGAAGTTGGGGAACATATTGTTTTTACTCTGTTTCTTATTATTATTATTTTTCTTCTTCTTCTTCTTCCTGGGTACTTTTTTGTCCGGGAATGATCTTGTAAACTATAGATCCGACTGAGGTAAAACCTTTTTAGGGTCAGTAGACATGTTATGTAGATTTGCGGAACAAAGGTCATTTTGCGCGCACGTGCTTGCAAGAGCGTGCACGTGCAACACGTGAAATGACCGATTTAATTGATATAGGCGTAACTTTTTACCTTTTTGTTGAAATGCTTTGAAACTCATAATATAAGGATATATTAGTAGCATAGACAATATGACATGGTCAAAATAGCAAGATCTCACGCGTATGCACGTGCGCTTCGCTCTGATTGGCTGAAACTAAAGTCTCAATATCTTTCTTGTTTTTTGACGAAATCCTTTGAAATTTTGAACATAGCCATGCATTAGAATATCCTACAACATGATATATAGCAATTATCATAAAAACACGTGCATGCACGTGCGCTGCAATCTGATTGGTTTAAACTTTAAATAGCTATAACTCCCTTGGTTTTCAATTAAACAGGATGGGATTTGGAACATAGATAGAAATAATGAACTACTTCAAGAAGGTATGGTCACCATGCACATACATACACGTGCGTGTACGTGCGCTGCAATCTGATTGGCTGAAACTTTAAACAGCTATAACTCCCTTGGTTTTCAACCAAACGGGTTGGGATTTAGAACATAGATAGATGTAATGGACCTCTACAAGAAGGTATGGTCACCATGCTCATGTATGCACGTGTGTGCACGTGAAATGAGTAAAATAAAAAATACACTTGAATTTTTTATTACTTTTGGATTAAATACTATAATATTGTGTAGACAAGATGATATGGTCATTACGCACATGCATTCACATGCGCACGCGTGCAATGCTCAAATTTGAATCAACTTGATACACTTTTGTGTAAACGTTTTTAAGTCTCAAATCCATAGAGTTTGTCTTATTTAATGAAGCTTACAGGGAATATGGCACAAATGGGCGTTGGGGAGCGTTTGGGGAACATCGGTAACGGTTCCCGTTACAATTAGCACTAGTTTCAAATGCATTATACCAAACGATGCACGTTCGTGAATCCAGTTGAAATCTAATTTTTCATTTAACCGTGTTTCACTGAAGTTATTTAATAATGTTTAAAACAAAGAACATAAGGGGTGGTGCTGCGTCCCTTTCCACACGTCACGAATGAAGTGTACTTTTTTTAGAAAAAAAAAAGAAAAACACATGATTAATTATGAAAAATGTACGATTTGTGCCAAAAATTCTTAAAGAAGTGAAATATGCCTACGTGTCTGCGCAGTTTTTTTTTTAAACAAAGAAACGCGTTTAAGGATGTGTGACGGTGCGTATCCGTGATACAGCGTTGTTGAAAAATGGCGAGTACCATACTTGCACGTAATGTATAATCCGTCATTTTGAAAAGTATGAATCATATTTAATTGAAATAAAATAATCAGGTCTGGTATGAAATAAATATATCATCGGTGAGTTTATTCTTTTCTTGCCCAGTTGTCCTTGAAAAGATTTTTGAATTATATCGCCAAATTGTAATGAATTATTTCGATTGAAAAGGATGCGTTGAACTTCTTGTGAAAAAATTGAATCCCCTTGTCCAAGGATGTTTTGTGGCAAGTTGGTTGAAATTTGCTCATATGTTCTTGAGAAGAAGCCAAAAATTTGAAACGTTTACAGACAACAGACGCTAGGCACTCTTAGATCAGAAATGCTGAATTGATCCTTCGGCTCAGGTGAGCTATTAAACTGACCTAGTGTTCCTGTGGTTGGTCCATTCAGGTAAAGTCTGTATCTGTCTGTCTCGTTAGATATGGAGAACTCTTCGTACTGTTGATATAGAGTGGTTCCATTTGTTAGAGTAATGGACACGTAAAGAGACGGCTTGTTTTTGGTTAACAGATGAATGACGTCATTTCCTAAAAAATGTTAAAGTCATATTGATTAAGTAGAACCTATAGAGGAAAAATAAATAACTGATTCATAAAAGACAGCCATGGACATGCATATTTTATATATGTAAATAAAAAACGAAACGATCAAAGTATATGTCTCTAGTGAATTTCATATACTTAGTATACTTCAACTAGAGATACAACGTTCCTTTTACAGTAAACCAAAATGCATATACCCAACCAATAAGATGACATAACCGAACCAAATCCCTCCTTGTATTCATTCCAAGTTCTGTTGAAATCGGTTGATCCGTCAACACGCTTCTGTATAACCTATGGGATTGTTGAAGAACCCTCATTGATGTTATTTTAAAAAATAGTTATAAATCCATGCACTAATTTATTGAATAAGTATTGAACTGACCGTCCATCCTCCACCTTTGGTGTTCATATCACACTGGACGTTTACAGACCATTGGTTGTTACAGGGATAAATAGTATAAACATTGGACAAAGTGTGACCATCAGCGAGCAATGTTTTACAATTGAGTGGACGTTTACTCCCTAAAATTATAAAAGAAATGGGTTAAAAAAACATTCTTGAAATATAAATATTTATACATATAAATATGTATCTTAGCCACTCTTTTCAATCTCCTGATTCCCAATCAGGCCTTTTTCGGCTATTTATATAAGGTCATGTCATATAATAAAATATTATATAACTTTGTGAAATCCGGTAATCTGATTGGTTAATACAAAGTAATTTTGTTTTAAGAACGACCGCTGAAAGCGAATAATGACTCGCACGAGCTGCCTCGTTTTCACTTTCGCTTTAGACAAACATGGAAGTTCGCAACTTTGCAAATTGTAGGTAAGGGAAATTTAAAAGATATAGTGAAGAACTCTGAGATTGAGAATACAAAACAATTACAAGGATATCTGTGGACATTTTTTCGGGAAGAATTAGCACATACCATTTCATGGTTGAATTCGACTTTTCCTCTCGGCGAGCAGAGTTTTGACGCTGTTTACGCGATTACGAAAGAAAATAAAGACGAGCGTGTCATGTATCTTATTGTAGAAGACATAGGTCTTATATTTCTCTGCAAGTGTAAACGAGTGCGATTCTCAATCTGGCGGAGGGGTACTCTGTGTTATTCGGAGATAAATATCTTGCGTTATTATCATGCTATTGGTTAAAATTTATTACCGAAACAAGTTCCTCTGAGTAACATTCAATAAATTCTGAAACATTTACATTCAATTCAACTTATTTATGGTTTACAATACCGGTATCATTATCTCTGTAAACATTAGGAAGATATACATTGTAATAATAAATTTGGGAAAATATTATTCATATAATATAATAAATATGGACTCAATGCACGGTCAATATGCATTTATAATGACCCAGGCTGACAGATATTGGTCAATATCTGTCGGTTTATTTAATACATATTGAACATTTTTTTTCCATATTTGTAAATAAAAAAAAAAACAATTTAAAATTAATAATTAGACATTCTAAATTCATTTAACTTTTAAATCTCTAGAGAATAACATTTTAAAAAAATATATGTTTTTTATTAAAATTATTCACTATTGTTAATTTTCTGTAGTCCTTCTGCGTAGGAGCGGCTCAAATTCTGTAACTTTTTTTTCTTCTTCTTTCTCTCACCATATATAATTTTTATCATACGTTTCATTTCATATAGTAGCTGCAATAAATTATTTAAAGCAGAGTTCATTATGTGCCAGTTTTACTGTAAAGAAAATGAAATACCTTCAGATTCCGCACTGTAGTATCTCCATCCTACTTGAACTTCTGTTAAATTACCCGGATGACATCCCGAGTAAACTCGACATTTCTTTGTGTGCAAATTGACGCCAAAATACGTACATTCTGGACCGCACATGGCTGAACACATGGTCACGGAATAGGCGTCATACTCTGCCAAAAGATTTTCTCGAATAAAAACGTCGTTATTATTTAATTGAGCAATATACCGTTTCGACACTGATTCGGAAATTCTAATTGAAACAACAAACACGGCCCACAACAATCGCCTATGATTGTATTTATACATCATTGTTATTTCTCCTCTTTTAAGGTGGTGATAAGCGATTCAAATTTTACGCTATTTAAGTTATTTTATAAACGAATTCTTTACCAGTACCTAATCTGATTGGATACATATATTAAAAGTAATCGAAAAGAAGGTGGGTCTAATCAATTAAACGACTTCAAATCACCTGAGTGGTGTGTTTGATTAAACATGTTTTTCATACTTAACATTGAATTTACAGTCTAAAACACCTGACATTCCAATAGCTGTACATGTTTTTGAAATATTGACTAAAATACTTGTATGGTACAAACGTCTTGTAATGAATCAAAAAACCAACTAAAGTATTCATTTGGGGTTGGGAAACCATAATTTCTTTGAATTTCATAGTCTTTTGCACTAATTGATATCAATACGCAAGTTTCGAGATAACATGTATCTCCCTTGATGCGCTCTTTAGTTGCGGAGGGGAGTTTTGTTACCGCGTAAACAGACTTTCGGGACAGTTATCTATATATTGGATACATTGCATCACTGGTTTATCAGATCTACATGATTGTCAGGATGCACTCTACATATTGAGAATAACCAAATTAATGTAAAAGCGTCATTTTTAAAGCAAAAAATCGTAACAAAAAAGGAAATGTCCGTGGATGTGAGACTTTTCAGATAAGGGGAGAGATATGGACTCCTAATAAAACCAAAATTCCAATCAGTTATTCCTTGAATAGAAAACTTGATACTCTTAGATTTTTTTTACAATTTGAATGTTACTTAGAATTAGACAAAACATGCGTTCCATGGAAAATTCAAAAGGAAATTACAGACAAAAAATTAACTTATTATTCATATGTGTCGAAGACTTAATGGTCATTTATCTATATATGTATGTGTATTTTAAAGTCTGATGAATTTTATAAGTCTGATAACTGTTTACAAAATTGCCTGCCCTCTTAAAAAATGTAAGTTTGAGCATTTACATAAAGGACACATATAAGACAAATTTAACATATTTAAATAAATGACTATATGTTACTTTCAAATTACTATTGCTTTAGTTTATAATTGTGAAATGTTAACTGTTTACAAGAGCTAGTGTATTTGGTAATTAAAATTAATTCAAATAGACTCCACTTAAATTAAGTGCAGAATGTTGAAACCTTATACATTTTTCAACCTCCCTCCTGATCCTTATTTTTAAGTTTAAGGCAAGAGAATCATTTCCTGTGACAAAAATCAATTTTTTTTACAGTTAATGTTCTCCATATTTTTATTACTTCCCTTTAGCTTTATTCAAATGTGAAATGAGTTCATTCTTTTAAAAGGGCGTGGGAAAAAAAATAAACTAAACTTTTTATTCTTGCACACGAATCTTCATTCATATAGTAGTCAGATTTCAAGTATGGATGAATGAGGATTGCGCTAAGAACCCAACATTTTTGTGAAAGATAAATAGATTAGACGAGATCAATTATAAAATAACCAATGAACAGAAAACTCTATTTTTATTTGAGTAAATATGACAAAGTTCCAATCTATTAGTAAATTTAGAAGAGAAATAAATGACACTTCATCAGTGTATAAGTCGATCACGTGATATACGTACATTTCTTTGTTATATTCACCTGATTCCACCTGCTATGTGTTGGAGGTCTGTTTTTACTCTGCTTCTATCTTGTATTGTTTTATGGACTTTGATCTTGGATACTCATTATCTCCATATACCGTATTTCAAAAAGACTCATTTATCTGAAATGAGAAACAACTTTTTTTTCATTCTATCAAGGACATTTTGTGACAACCTGGTTATTGACAATGACCAATGTGAATAATTTACAGTTTTTCGAACAGAAACGTTTTCATAGTATAAAATACACATAATTTAGGAATAATGTTCCGATATTTAAAAAAAAAATTGTACAAATTCTTTTGTCGCTGAGAAGATAAGCTGAATTAAATAAATTGTTAACATTGTCCTGGTGAGGTGAAATGATGATCAACAAAATAGAAGGTAAGCGTTTAATTATCCATGTAAAATCAACTGTGTGTTGGGGGGGAATGGTTAAATAAATATTGTGTAAAACACAGCACTAATGTTCTAGGAAATGGACCAAATTGTACTTCATTAACCATATTTTGCAATAATAATGAAGTGAAAGATTACTTAAAACGTCAATGAAAAAAAATCAGGAGAATACGACCGGACCTTTAAATAATATCAGAGGTGAGATCAGATGTCATGAAGGAGAAAGCATCTCCTTTCGATCGACCACACACAACAAATATATGCTGGTAGTCCGATCTTCAGATAAAAAAGCAGTTAAGTAAATCAAAAATACGGCTATGATGAAAAGAAAATAATTGGGTTCCCAATTTCATTTTACTTCATTCAATATCCCCTCCGATTGAATTGAATATTAAATGGTCCTTTGTTGATTTTAAAAAACGATACTCAAGGATGGTATATACTTTCTACTCAAGTGGTTTTTGCCACTATGGAGGTTTCTATGCAAAATAATTAATCAAGACCCATAATTGCTATACATTTCACGAAGAAAATGTTAAGACTTGTTTTCTAAACTTTTTTGATACCCACGATATGCGATTGCGAGTACACACTTTTATGACGTCATATTATGACGCCAACCCGATTACTACACACTTTGAAAAGAAACAAAAAATCGCTTCGGCCCAAGGGCATACCAAATAATTTCTTTTACAGAAACAAGGTACCAAAAGGGAAGCAGAATATTCCAAGGATGATTTAATATATTCTGCACAAATGTTCAACAGCAATTATTTAATATACTGTTCGTACAGATTTCATTTGAAACAGGGTAAAAATGCAAATGCATCCTATGTAAGTTTCATAAAAATTTTATCGATTAAATATTAAAGTTTATTTATTTCAAATTAAATAGAATATAACGTTATCTATTATTGATGTGTTTTGGAACGTTGAATGGGAAAGAAATAAATGACGCTCATAATGTGCACTTGCATTAATATACTGCGGGTACTTACGTATTCTTAATATAGAAAATCAGCCTTTTCAAGAAATTTCTCTGTATATAAAATATACAATTTATGCATTTTTATTAGCTCCTTTTCAATTAGAAAAAAAAATATTTAGCCTTTACTCACTTGCGTACATTAATTAATTTGTATTTACTCAAGTATCTTAACTAGTTATCATATCAAAAGTTCAATTATGATTTTTTCGACACCAAAATATAGGCTCGTAAATTTTGTTTTGAATACTGCAAATCATAGACTTTTTAAAATTTCAATATGCTGCTGAAAAATTAATACCGCTAAAACAACCCGGTTTTCGTTAAATTTAAATATGTCATTAAAGGACACGGTTAATATAAGTAATATCCTTAAATCACAAAACGCCCAACCTTGTATAACCTCAATATTTCAAGTTGAAGATTACACCTTCAAATAAACATAGTCAATTGCTGCCAAACTTTTCAATTACCAAAAAAAAAAATTACATAGCCTGGATATCAAGTATCTGTTTTTTAATTAATCCTCCAATGTGTTCATCTTGAATCATTAAATCACTTTAGTTTCATACTGGATAATCGTTATATATATAATAGGTGGTGTAAATATGGTTGATAATGATTACCTTAGATCACTTATTTTCAAAGGACAAATTAAATATAAATTTCACAAAATATCCTCAAGTGTTGCTTCTAGTGTCTCTTTTGTGATATTTAGATGTAAACAAATGTAAATATTACCCGGATGTGAGAAACCTAGCAAAAGAAATTTTAACTAATATCTGTTTTTATTAAAATGTTCAATGCTATAAAGTATGAATCATAAAATACATGTTAGAACATACGTTTCGGTAGTGAAGGTATAATCATTTATATAAATAATAGGGTAAGAAATCAGTATTACAAAAAAATAAATAAAAAGGGATTTTTAAGAAAAAATGCAAATAAATCTAACAGGATGCACGAAATACGGACCTTTCTGAAGTGACAAATAAACATAAATAAACATTTCGCATTTTCATTTGAGAAATATAGTATTACCTAAGTCCATGAGGAACTGTGTTCATTCTTACAGAGTTGCTTCCAGGATTTTTTATAAGGATTTTGTTGTAAAGAATATTGATAGGAAAACCGTAGAATCCTAAACAGTCTCCGGTGATTTGATGACAGAGACAAAGTATTTGCCAGGAGATATCTCTCTGTGATGTTGGTACATGAATCCCGGCATCACAGAGAATCGGAATTGTAGATCCTGTAGATATTGTTGTGACCTGACTGTGTCACCCAGTCTGTGGTAATTCAGTATAAACAACATGTGTAATATCACTACAGGAGGAATAAATAATATAAGCATATCATTCCTGTTACTGATTTGTTGCTCTAACACTAGCTCGTCAATGTAAGTTCGCTCGAAATATAATTTAATGTGGAACATAAGCGCTTTCCTGATTTTCTTCTCCAGAGACATCACTGCCGTAAAGTGTTCATACAAATATCTATTAACATTACCATGGTACAAGATAAAAAGGACTGACATTCTTTCATGTGCTTTCTATGAACAAATGAAAGGACGATCATACCTACGTATATTGTAGAAGTACATAGCAAGATACAGAATGTCTGACACACAACCAATTGTACAAGACAGTTTTAACTTTGCAACTATTCCTATTTATATATATTGTTCTTCATCGTTAGGGCAGTGTCCTCAATATAACCGATGGCTTGCATTGTAATGTAGCCACCTGGTTAAGTGCCAACCTTTTTCTTGTCAACTTCTCAATCGATTCATGTAAACTGCAAATTCCTCAAAACTGCAAGGGCATTCTGATGACATTAATTCACTAAAAA